GAGGGGGTGGGGGTGGGGTTTGGGGGGGACCATCCCCAGAGTTTCTCATCCACTGACTTTCTGGCATTCTGGATAAACTTCAGGGGCAAAAAAAAATAACCAATTTGTCCAAAGCACGATCATGTCAAAGCCAAAAGGTAAGCAGAGCTGCAGTTTTGGCACATATTAGCATGAGCAGCATTAGCTTCTGATAATCTTGGAATAATTTGGCCATGTCATGCGCCATGTTTCCACACTAAAGGTCAGGTGTATTTTAGTGGCTTGGTGACGAAATGCTGTATCCACGAAAGCAATGGCATCTCCTTTGGTACCGGTACTCGCTTTCAAAAAGATAACAGTGTTAGCTTCTTCTAAATGACACTTGCTGTCAGTGGTGCAGGGTGGTGTTTATTTTTTGGGGCCGATGTGTCCATGCGTCACACAAAAGGGGAAGGACTTCTTCCCTGTTGGTTGATGCAGAATTTTCCACGGCAATGCATCCAGGGAAGTTGATCTTATCTGATATCTTGTCGTGGTTGGTCGATGCAGAATCCTTACAGCAACAACACCACTTTGATCATTGCAACTGAGACCTCTCTCTTACCTGGGGAGGAGAAGCGGCAGTAAATCAGGCTAAAATCAAGATGCCAGTTTGAATACTGGGTGCAGTTTAACGAAATGTGAGAGTGCCAAACTATGTTGAAAGTCAAGATGTAAACATTTCCACAGATGACGTCACTTTGCTTGTTCAATAGACAATTAATAATTTCCATTGGCAAGGCAATCCAGAGTACTGGAGCCAGAATAGAGAATGCTCTAGAACGGGTAGGGAACTCCAGTTCCTCGATAGCCATGTCCTGCCTGTTTTAGATCCCACCCCACTCCAACACACCTGATTCAAATCATCAGCTCATCAGTGAGCCCTGTAGAGGCCTGAAACAATCATGAGCAGTTGAATCAGGTGTGTTGGAGTAGGGAGGGATCTAAAACAGGCAGGATGTGGCTCTCGAGGAACCGGAGTTCCCTACCCCTGCTCTAGAACGTACTCACATTGTTTTCGCTCTTGGAGTCACCAGCAAGACCAGCATGTTGCGAGCGTAAGTCTCAGGATGGACCATATGTTCAACTTGGTCGTTTAATTTGACACTCGATAGGTAGGCCGTCACCCCAGACACACCAAACTTATTTGTGTACATCACACCAGAAGTCAATTTTGCCTCTTGAAAGCAGCTGCTTGGACCCCCCCCCCCCAGCCCACTTACTCTGTGCTGGGGTGAGCAAGGTTGGAGTTGAGGAGGCAGTGCCTCACTTTAATTGGCCTCCAGCTCTCAGCAGGCTATCATTATTGGGGATGGAAAAAGGGTCTTAGGCTGAGATTAGTGACACCCAACTCACAGCTGGCTGACCACTACTTTTCTGTGGACTCACAGTGTGCGGCATTTTCACATTTTTAGAGTAGTATTTAATGTGTGTGTGCGCTCACGTCTGCATTTTTGCAGTGACCCCCTGGTAGTCTTTAGTTTATTTCCACAGGAGACAACACTCACACTCAAGATTAACCAGGCAGGTTAACACACACATACACACAAATCCAGCAAATTACATCGGCCGTCCCCCAGTCATTAGGTTGCCAGCGAGGAGGCAAAACAGAAGGCAGACCGGGTGGGATTTACCATTTGCGCTCACCACCAGTTAGACCAATAGGTAGACCACCAGTAGCCCCATAAATCACTTATTTAGGATTTTGGATATTCACGGTTTAGTATTGACCAGACATGGGCTCTTATTAGATCAACTTGTAAATTCCCCCATAAAACGACTTATTCAACACGGGAGAAAGTCATCAAACTCACTGACTTGCAGCACCAACAGGAAGAGGGTTATGGGTTATGACTTTTTTAAACTTCAGTTTGCCACGTGTCTTCTGGACCGATGATTTGATCTGAGTCTCGTCTGGTGAACATCGCTTTTCCCTCAGTTTAATTTGCTTGGATTCCATTCCTGACCTTTGTCTCGTCAGACCCGAGCCTCCCATTAGTTTTACATTGTCCGTGAGTTCTAACCAGCTGTGCCTTTTAAAAGTTCACATCCTGACTGTTTGTCCTACAAAACGCTTACATCCAACTGTATCTTAACTTTCAGTTTTTTTACCCAACTGTGTCTCATCAGTTTCCAACCTGGCACAGTGTTACGCAACTGTCTCTTCAGTCCCAGGCCTGCCCGTGTGTTGTACCCACCTCTTGTCTCCTGGATGTCTTTTACCTGCCGTCCCCAAGCATCCCTTGACAAAAGGACCAGTAGGCATGTATTGTAACCCAACAGACTGGACATGAGACACAAACAAGTGTTTGGATCGGGTCCATCTGTCTTGCAATGTCTTCACCCAGTCGGTCGTGCCTGGAACACCACCAGGGAGGCATCCAGTTTCTTTCGATCCAGAAGAGCAGTGGCTCTATTCTGAGCCCATCCCAGATGACCTATAACCTGTAGAACTCAATTGGGCAACAAATGAAATCTTTTAGAGACGGGAAATAACTGGGCAAACGTGATTGGACAAGTGTGCACACCCTTCGCTATAGGATTGTGACTGTGTTTGCAATGAAACAATCAAATTTCATCTCATATTAATGGGAGTCATCACACACCTACCTAACATTTATAATCCCTCTGATTAACCCAAGGTACTTTTCAGCTGTTGTCCTCGACTTTGCCTGATTTACTTTTTTGCATTTTTAGCGAGCAGAATCCTGCGATTGGCTGTCCCCCGCCTACTGACCGAAGACAGCTGGGATATTTTCAAAAAGCACTTGAAATCTCTTAAATTTGTGTTTGAAAACATGTAATGGGCCGATGAAACCGTGGTTGAACTTGGCGTTGGTTGATGAGATCCCGCCCACCTGCCTGTTACAGGGTCTGCTAATGGCTAACAGCTGGTCGCCAAGCTATCCGCTGGATAATCCCACATCCCGCTGCTGGCCGCTGGCGTTTGTCCAACGGTGGCAACCCGGGGACTAATTGGAAAATGGCGTGGCGCCGCGTCAACAAGCCGGACATCAAAGTGGCTCACCTGCTGAGTGACGCCCTCCCGGCACACAATCCACAGTGACCGGTGAATTTGATTGGCACATATGGCGAACACAAGGTTATTGTGCCACCATAATAATATGTATGAAACACCTGATGGTCACTCTATTGACTTCTCCACATGATACAGATTAACCCAACAGCCACTAAGCATGGGAGGAGTCACATTTACTATGCGGTGTGATTAGAAATTACATAACTTTCATCACAACTAAGGAAAGGGACTTTCATTTTTTCATATCATACTTGGCTTCTCAATAATACCTTGAGTCCTCACTTTATCACCTCTTGAGATCTTCTCGTGTCCTACTATCTACTTTACCCATCTTGTCTTACACTAGTCTCATATTGTCCTGCTTTTTTTTTTTTTTGGCTTCATCTGTCCTCCTTGATCCTCATCTCCTCCCCTCATGTCCTCTTCCTTCTGTCACCATGTCCGTGTCTCTTATTTACACTTTCAATGTCTAATTTCATTTCAATTCTCCTTGAGTCTCCTAGGTTGTTGTCTTCATCTAATTTCCCTGTGTCCTACATGAGCCTCCCCTTCTCTTTGTTTTCCTTCCTTTCTCATCTCACATGTCCAAACTTTCCCTCCTTGTGCGGTTGTCTTTGACTTCATGTGATATCAGTGAATTATGAACGACTTCTGTTTGTTGCTTTGTGAAATTGACTGAGAATGAATTTACGGGTGTGCGTGCGTGTGTCATCCATAGATGTGCACATTAAATTCAATGTCTTAAAATCCTTTCAGACAGTACATTATTTGGACATCAGGTCAACTGCTCCTCAGGTGGTTTCCAACCTGCCTTGAGTGACGTCACAACAGTTCATGAATGTGATTGGGTGAGCTGTGATTAGTTGTCCTGTGTGTGTGTTTTAAGTAGGACTTCTGGATGTGTGCGTTACTTTTATTGCGAACAAAGGATATTAAGAAGCAAGAACATTTGACCTCTTCAGCTTCTACTGTGCTAATATTTCCCCATTTTAACAACTTTTTGAAAAACTTTAAACGTTTGGCGGGGCGCGTGCAGGTGGCCAGCATCCGCGGGGGCGCGTTTCTGCGGTGAGTTCACGTGTATCTCGGTGCCTTTTATTCTTCACGCTGCGACGAGAAATACTGGACTTTTGTTTTGTTTATCTTTATATTTTTATGATTTGCCCATAACACACAAGACGAAATTTGTCAAGTTTGTTAGTGGACTCTGGAGTAGGATTTGTGCTTTTAGTGAGTGTAAATCACGAGGGATGATAATTGTCATAATAATTTTACAATGCATTTAGCTGTACGTGAACGGTTCACGTGCAGCGAAATGCATTGTATGTTCATGTAGCGAACGTGAAATGAATGACTACTGAACATGTTTTATTAACTTTAATCCACCTCGAAATTGCTTCACCGTGTGATAGCATATTACCAATACACGTGTTACTATATTAAAACCCGTTACTACATGTTTTATTGGCGTATTTGTGTAGTATAATGCATCTGCATTGTTATATGTACAGTACATTATTTCAATGTGTATATGAAGTCAACAAAAGTTAATTCCAGCTGTAAATACAATGGATACTGTTACGTAATAATTCATTTGAAATAATTATTTAAAAACTGAACAAGTAAAATAGGTTTAAACTGTTTTATTTTTGTGTGTTTCGTTTGATGGTTTATTCTGTAATTTTAAAAATGTGTCATTTGTATCTTAATGTTTGTATTCGATTCCTCGTAAATAAAACAACTGTTGTGTTTTGTTAGCATTTATTTCTATTGTTAATAATTGCTGCAATTTGTTTTTAAATGCACTCTCAGGGGCACGCATTGCTCCTGGTCTTTTCCCGTTTCCATGGAAACCCTAACCACGTTGTCCCCGGCCGCTCAATGTGACGTCACCAATATCGAAGGCAAGCGTCGCAATTCCTCCTGTACTTGGGGTCAGTCGAAAAATAAAGGTGTATTGTTTTTAAAGTCTATTTTTGAATTATTATGGTGATTAATGATGCTATTGTGGTCAAATCTAAATGTATCTAAGCTAAAATTGATGTTAAAAGTGAATGTGCGTGCGTGTCAGACGGGTGCGTGTTTAACAGGTCTCCCCCTGCTGGTGTGCTCCAGTCAGAGCAGCTCTCTCACCTGCAAAGGAACAAAGAGGTAACATGACTACAACATGTCTTGTATGACAAATCAGATCAAAATGTGCTTGTTTGATAAAATAAAAATGATTCGGTTGCGAAATCTGCTCTGTGCGTGTGTTTGTGTAATGGTCGCTGTCAGCTGGAGAACATGCTGCTGCAGCAAGAGGAGGAGCTAAATCGCCTCCAGGAAGAGAACAACAAACTGCGACAATTCCTCAACTCGTCTTTCATCGGGGAATCGAAAGACAAAGCTAAAGTGAGACAAACTTTGCACTGTTTTCATGATGTAGAGTAGACAAAGAACAGACTGGCCACCAGTCAGTGTCATGAGTGATGGTCAATTTCAGGGGAAATAGAGAAACAATAAACTGGTCAGGCCACATGTTGACAACCAAGCATTCACACTTAGGTTCATACTTTCAGCATCTCAGCAAAGTCAGTACACCCCGATATTAGTGTGAGAGCAAGAACACCAAATTAACATACCTACCCACCATTCACACTTGAGACCTTTGAATGCTAATCAGTCAGATGACACTCGAGAGGGAAACTAGCTAATTGGGCACAACTTGGACATTTTCATATAGAGGTGTACTCACTTTTGTTGCTAGTGGATTGTATAGACATCAGTATTGGGTTCTTTTGAGGGGACAAACATTCTTTGTGGTCTGTACTTTTTAATTTTATTTAAGTAACAAGCGGAATCAGTACTTCTACTTCTACAACAGTATTTATATGACACGAGTGTCCGTATTTCTACTTAGGTAGAGAATGTAAAGATTTTTTTGAATTTCTGAATCAGTCTTCATCTGATCATCATTTCTGAAGCAGACTTGTGAGAGATGCAGGATGCAGCCTGGACTGGTTGCCTGTCAGTTTCATGAAAGAAAAATGACAAACTTGAATTTTTGACACTGTGAACAAATGAAGAACTCAGAACGCAAATGAATGTTGTTGTGCAGAAATTGAGTGCCAACGGGACCAAGAATCTGAATAGGAAGCCACCGTACCACGTTTGCTCTTTCCAAAACTGTACTCGGCGCCACCCTCACATCAGCAAGCGCGTTTGTCGAAACCTCAGCGCTGAGTTCAGTTCCGCCGAATCCGGTTCTGCTGACTCCAGTTCCACCTCTTCCGAGCCCACGCTGGATCTTTGGGTTCTGAGAACTCTTGGTCTGAAAGATCCGGACACCATCGACACCTCCTCCTTGCCGGCTGCGTACCAGAAAAACTTAGCAGTCTCACCGGTCGCCCACCAAATCGAGAGCGACCAGTCAGACTGCAGCTACGGGAGCGTTGAAGGTCTGCAAAGTCATCATGCCATCATGGCATCCACTCCAAATCACATCAGTCCACCATCTGGACACCAGTTCTCTGAGGAGACTCACTTAAGCCAAGCTCCTTTCTGCAGTCCAGTCCTGAACTGGTCTTGGACCGCACAGAGTCAGTCACAAGTTGGACAGTCTGTAGCTGGACATCCGGACTTGGCTTTTTCAATGTCCTTGAGCCCTGCCAGTAGTGTAAAGACCCTCAGCTACCCTCAGGGGCAGGCTTTTATTAGGAGGGACCCCCAAGGTCGCTGCAACTTCACTTGGTTGCCCACACACATCTCCAGAAAACAGGATCCTGGAGTTGGACTTTAGCAGGGCGCAGAATCCCAACACCAAACGTTGAAGGCTACGTCTTGAAAGCTGACTCAAAGACTCTCATTGCTAACTCAGAATAAGTTTGACTTGTGCCTTTTGTTCTTCGAAGGTCATCGGCTTCAAGCATCTTGATTGCTAAGCTAATAGCTGCAGTCAACTAACCTGACTAAGTCTTGACAAAAAAGGAACAGCCTGTAATACTTTGAAATTGTAAATTGTAGCATATAATTGTTAGCCCACTGACCACATTGGAGTGTTTCACTAAATGTATTTTGCCTGTTTCCGGGCACTCGAGTTGCGTGTCTCAGTTGCTAAGCTAATGGCTCCCACAACAGATTCGTACATTTGTCACAAGACAGCAAACAAGGGGAAAACCCTCTTTGATGACAAGTGTGCTTTTTGTCACTTTGAGGCAACCGTATTCAAGTTTTCCATTGCTCAAGCTAATACTGTAGCTCCAGTGAACTAAACCAACACAAATGACGAGTTGATTTGCTGAGTTCATTTTGAATTTGAAATTCTACCACCACGATAGGGAACTTCACCAAATGTTTTTGTCCCTTTGGTGCCACTGTTGTTGTGTGTCTCTAACCTAAAGCAAAACTAATACCACCAGGGTCGCCTCTGTTGTCACTGGACAACGAGCCACGGAAAACCGCCTTTGATGACCCGCGCGTAAGGGGGTACTCTACTAAATTAGATCAAGTTGACTTGTGCCTGTTGCATACACAGGTGTCCAGGTTGTTAAACTTATTTTTATCTCTAAACATGACGAGAAATTTAATTCTAAACACCACTGATGGCCTTTACTCAACTCAACTCAACTGTATTCCTAGAGCACTTTAAAACAACCACCACTATATACAAAGTGCTCTACATGAAGCAAAAAAGAAGTCCTACAACAACACACATTAAAACAATAATTTAATAACAAACACAGTATAAAGCACAAAAACAGTAAAAAAAAAAAACGTCATGCTGAGTCAAAACCCACAGAATAAAAATTTGTTTTAAGATGAGTTTTAAAGATGGGCAGCGAGTGGGCTTGCCGAACATTCAATGGGAGTCCATTCCAAAGAGAGGGACCAGCAACATTGTTGTTCAATAAACTTCTGATTTTCACAATCACACTTGTTTGCTTGTCCAAGTCCAATACAATTCTTGCACAAATAAAACAAGGTCACGGTGCTGGAGCCTATCCCAGCAGTCTTCGGGCAGTAGGCGGGGGACACCCTGAACCGGTTGCCAGCCAATCGCAGGGCACACAGGCGAACAACCATCCATGCTCACATTCACACCTAGGGACAATTTTGAGTGTTCAATCAGGCTGCCATGCATGTTTTTGGAATGTGGGAGGAAACCAGAGTACCCGGAGAAAACCCACGCAGGGACAGGGAGCCCAGAATCAAAACCATGACCTCTGCACTGTGAGGAGGACATGCTAACCAGTTGACCACAGTGCCACCAGTAATATTTCATTTTTTAAAATTTTAAAACAACAAAAAAATTTTAATTTGTCATTAAATTCAGAGACAGTAATATCAGTCACTTAGCAATTATTTAATCTATCCATCTTCTGTACTGCTTGTTAATAGTGATTTCATATTTAATTTTCATTGCTAAAAACAACAACATATATTTTTTTGCATTAAAATTGAGAGACATTCATATAGTAATTATTTCACATCAAAATACCATTAACAACAACAAAAATAATGAGACAGCAAACTACTAATTAAAACTAAAAAAAAATAAAATAAAAAAAAGAAAGTTTACCAATTATGATTTAGAGACCATATAGAAATATGTTCAAATATGAAATGACAATGAGACCTCATTTATTACATTCGGAGTTAAAACCTGAGAATTATTTCAGAGTTTGATTGAAAGCATTCGTCCCAAAGGATGTTAGCATGTTAGCTGCTCCTTAGCTCACTTACGAGCTTGGGCAGAGTGCCGCCTCCTGGTGTTTCACAACAGTTGGTGGTCCATGGCTCCCTGGAGACCCCCACCTTCTCAGTCCTCCCCCTGCATGTAACAATGGAGGAGGTTCATCTCCCTGGAGGGGTCCCCGAAAGAGCGAGCCCAGTCCCCCGAGATGCGTCAAGGAGGCCGTGCGGAAGCGGGGTGTCCGAGCGGTCTATCGCTAATAACACAGTGAGACCGGGGTGGGGGCCGCAGATGTCAGCCAGATTGGTCGCATTTGAGTGGAACGCGGGATTGTGAAGGAGGATGTGGTGAGGATCACACAGAGATCATGCAGCGACCCTCTCCGCTGAGGGGTCATTAAGGAGGACGGACATGAAACCCAATCTGTCCTCGGACAGGCGTTCTCGAGCAAGTTGACAGCTTGAACACTCAACAGGTCCTACAGTACGACGCCCACTCGCCACCTTACCAAAAGAAAAAAAAAATAATTGAGACTTCTCACAACTCACTTCGTCTCAGTGGTGTGCAAAGCACAGTGGATGTCCTCTAAAAAAAATGGAATGAGGGTGGTGGATGGGAGATTTGTTTGCTGATATCTTTCATCTGAATCATCTAAAACGGGGTGGTTAGGGGCCCTCAAAGACCAGACTTGGACACCCCTCTTTTACCCTCAAGACAAAAACCCTGACTCTTGAACTAAAAAAACAAATTCAGCCTAAAGCGTTATATAAAATCGTAATCTAATGATAAACCCTGATCCCAAAAATGTTAACCCACTCCACAAACCCTGTCCAACTCAATACAAGGAATTGGGTGTGTTGACAGCGCTCTGCGCAATGCTAAGTGCAGTGTGAAAAAGGCCTCACCCTTCTGCAGTCCCAATCCGAACCCGAACTATTCACCTTGGCTGTATCAGGAACCAACCGAGCCACAGAAAAGCAACAATCAGGTGTTTCAAAAACACGTCTGGCACCATGAAACAACAACAAACTTTTGAGGAATTCTGTTCTGAAGAACTTCGGATAGTTATTCATCTTTCTCCAGTGAAAATGAATGTGGATGCCATGAATTCATTCCAGACAAAAAAAAAAAAAAATTGTAATGCATACTTTGATAACAAAAAATAGCCCTCCATAATATTGTACTTTTCAAAAACCATACAGCAATGATATCATAAACTAGAATTAAAAATAATTGAACCGTTTTTGTTTCACACCACCAACGAGTAAATTCAACAAGTACATTTTTCAAAAAAGAATGACGTCCGACGCTGGAGGCGATCCGGGCGGCGAGGCCAGCAGATGCCTGTCCTTGAGGCAGAGGTGGAGGTGTAACATTAACGGGGAGGCAGGGCTACGTTAATTCTCCGAGGGGGCAAATTAACCCCAAATCAACTGTCTTAAATGAACCACTGCGCCCCAGCCGTGATGTCATACCGTCTGCCACAAAGCTTTCCCACAATGCTTTGTAGCTCATCTGTTTCCTGTCACACTGAACTACAGCAACCAGCAAACAAGTTTAACAATATCATGAGCTAACAGTTGTTAGCATCAGCTGGCTAATGGTGCAAATTGAGTAAATGACCACAAAAAAAAAGACTCTAGTTACCTAATGCAAAGGCACGTCAGAGGGCTCCAAATTGGAGATGTTGTTATCTCACTGAGGCTAATAAGCTCATTGTAACGTTGTGCAATAAGGAATAAAATAGTGTACTTGAAAATGTAATTACATCCTATGAGAAATTCATTGCATATATGTTCTATTTAGCTCCAATTCAAACAACTGAGTAGAATATTGAGTCCAAAATTCACCAACATAAGATACATCACAGAATAACGCTGACTAAATACCTCAAGAAATATGGGAAGTTATTAAAAAAAAAAACATATTTCACCAAAGAACAAAGTAGAATACACACAAGACTAATGAACAATGTCAAGTTAATACCAGGGAAGAATATGAAAAACTGTACACTAAAAATGGGCGAGGAGAGCAGTGAGTGGTGTTTGGCTCAGATGTCAGCAGACACGTGTTCTAAGGGCCAACTCAATGGGTTTGGGCTCTTGACGCACACGCACACACACTGAGCACAATACAATACAATACAGTACCATTAGCTTAGCATTAGCGGTCCCATCTGAGCTATTAATTACAGTGCAATTAATAACCTGTTGAACAGAAGTGTTAAATTCCTTCCCAGTGCTGGCTTCTTCACATATACAATGTCACGTAAAAAAAAGAAACAAGAACACGTTTATAATTTGAAAAAAAAACCCCAAAAGATTTCATTTAGTTTATATTTTAAGATGCAAATTAAACCGTTTGCTGTTGGAGCAGCGTTGAGATTCCACTAATATCGTGCGTGACTCAAGGCTGTCAGGCAGAAATATAAAGTGCCAGTTAGTCCACTGGGCTGCCTTTAGGTAACGGGAGTAACCAGAAGTGTTTATGTTTGTCAATGCAGTTGTACAGTGGTTCCAGTGAGCTGACCGTGCGTAGCCCTTTGTGGCTTTTGTGCTGCTCTGAAACCGAAGCTACCCGGCCGAGAGGAAGTGAGCGAGTTGCTTTGGGGTGCAGTTTCTGTTGGCTTTGCTGAACTGGTTCACTCATATCACACAATACAAAACGAAATCACTTCGGCTGCGGGAATAAAGTTACAGTCTTACCAGAAAAAAAACAATGTTATCGTACGAGAATAGTAATAGGTTTCCCCGAAGAATGCTTCATTTTTAGAATTGTTTTTCAAGAAAAGTGTTTTTTTTCCGATAAATTGTATTTTTCAGCAAAAAGGGGATTTTTTTCTGAGATGAAAATCAACACAAAAATACTGTTTTAAACAACAAAGTTTTCATTTTTAACCTTTTTTTCATTATTTTTATCCATTTTCCCTAAATTTAAAAAAAGGCTTCAACATTATTTTTCCTCAAAAAAAGACGCCTCCTTTTTGAGCAAAAAGTAGTATTTTTCCGCAAAAAGTATTTCTCTATCACATTTTTCGACCACAAAAAATCATTTTGTTGCTGCATAAAGGATCATTTTTTTTAACTGTGACGGTCTAACGTCATTCGTTGTGACGTAAATCAAGCGCGACTGCAGTCTCACTTTACGGCATGGAAGCTGAACGAGCACGCGAAACTGAGGACAGCTAAACTAAGCAAGTTGCCGGGTGACAACATTTGACTAATAACCACGTTGTGGCGCGCTGTTCATATGTGGCCTTTTCAACATATCGATCGCTGAGCGGAAGTGTAATATGTCATCTTGAGCTCCAAATATGCCCTTAAAGACGTTGGTGGACAGCCAGGTACACGAGAGCATGTGTAACAAACAATGAGTCGCTCAGAAGTTTCTGCGTGCGTTCGATGTTTTAGTCAAGCGTGTTTAATATGCTACTAATATTGCTAGTTTCACTCGGATTTTTTCAACGTCATGAAGCTTTTTTTGAACATTGAAGCTTTCACAAAAACTTTAATTTCTCGAAGCTTCGTGTGCACACAACCCCCAGCCATATCTGGCCAAAACCTTGATTGTCAGTCAACGGTGACCGAATGGGAATAATCACGGAAATTAATATACCATTGTTTGGATTTTGTGGCGTCCTTTCGCGTAATCTCTTTTGGGTTTATGTGATTTTAATGCCTTGCTAGCAAATAGACACACTCAATGGGACATATGTTTGTGTTAAACTTGAGGGGCCAAGATTGTCAAATGAATGGAGAAGTGATGAATTGTACATGCATAATAATCAGTTATACCGATTTTTATTTTTTTGTAAAACGATTATTTTATTTTTTGTAAGTGAATGTATATTCGCCGACAGAGAAATATCACCACATTCGCTCAGGCTGGACGTGCGTCGTTTCCAATGCAAAGTTGGCCAAACTCGTACTCGCGGCAACTGCAATTATTCAAATTTATACCATGTCTATATTTCTGTTTGAATCTGATGTCCTAACTAACAAAAACACGTTACGTGTGTGTGCTTCCAGTGTGGTTAACAGCCGAATGTTGTTTTTGGACAGAGTGATGTCTTCCAAAGAGGCGGAGTCTCCCGCCCAAGCCATGCACATCAGTCAGTGTGACTCCGCCCCCCTGCTGTGGCATACAGACGAAGTGGCCGCTGCACGCTCCCTTGGCCTGGTGGGAGCGCTGCTGGGCTCACTCCCGCGCACCCCCCGGCAGAATGTGCGTCTGGGACGGCCGTTGCTTTTGCTGCCGGAGGAGGAGCGATTTCTTGGCGACTGTGGCGCCCTCACTGCTATTTCGCAATCGGTGAGTGGCTTTCTTGCTGGCATGCATTACTTGGAGTCAAGTTTGCAGATTTTTTTTAATTGGTAGTGAAGTTTAACAACTACTGAAGGACAACAGATTAATTTCTTTATTGTTGTAAGTGCTTAGGCACCCAGAAAAGGCAATTTTATAAATGCCATTTTTTTTTCAAATATGTGGCCCATTAATCAGTCATCAGGTTTTTGTTCTGCCAAATATCAGCACCGGCCTCCAAATGCAAACATCCTTATCGATTGGGCCCTAAAGAAAACTAAAAGGGCTCTCTCATCATTGCCAGAGCAGGCCTGGCACAAGGAGTCGTGTAATTGTGTGCATGGGTGCCCTAGACTAGTGTCGGTATTTTCACGGACGGACACACCTTGACACAATTAGAAACAAGTGTTTTGCTCCATTGTGGGTGTGAACACAGCCGACCTGTTTCGCAGCCAATGGGAGTAGCTCCCCTCAGTCCCTTTCAAGTCTTTGACACGACGGGAGTAGAAACTGATTTACTGGAGTCCATGCAGGAGGTGGAAAGGCACAGAAAATGTTCATGAGGAACTGTACACAGATGTTCACAGGTGGATGACGTCAAATTGGCCACTGCTGTCAAGTGGCCACGCATGAGCTATGATTGTTATAGTAACAACTCAATGATGAAGGACTCTCTTGATGTTGGCAGTTCGAAGACTCGAAACTTGCACATGTGTGACGGGATTGGTGTCGTAGCTGGTATGTGACTAATGCGCGTGTGCTGCCTTCAGGATGTGGGCGTACGGGAGCACGCCCGCCAGGTGGCGCTCTATGAGGAAACTCTGGAGCGAAGCTACCAGGAGCAGCAAGTCCTCGCTCTTCAAGACAGGAAGGCGGCTGTGCTACGTGCACTCAACTCATCTCGACCAGGTGAGACAACCGGCATCTTGCCGACTACCCTTTGTGTGTGTGTGTGTGTGTGTGTGTGTGTGCGCGTGGGTGTGTGTGTGTGTGTTTGTGCGTGCGCGCGGTAAGGGGCGATCCCAGTCCAAAAAGTGTATGTGTGTGTGTGTGTGTGTGTGTGTGTGTGTGTGTGTGTGGTCGACAATGAATTTAATGTCTGTGCTTGACATCGAAAAGATCTCATGCCACACTCTTTCACAAACGGAGAGATGCTTTCATGAAATGGGAAATACAAGCACTCAAAGTAACAGAACATGACATAATTTGCCAGAAGCCCTCATTCACATCACATAATAATAAAACACATTGTTAATTTAGTTGAAATATATTACTTAATTGTGCTTAAAAAAAGTTTCTTGTAATTTTGAAGATTTTTTTTTCTTCCAGTTGCATACCAAATTTTGATTGGGTAGATAAATTTACTACTTTTAATTTTCTAGTGTGTATGTTTGAGATGGCGCGGATGCATTCCCAGCCATTGATAGAACAGGATGAACAGTCAAATACCCAAATACAAAATGACAACACTCCCAAGAAGCTGCTGTAGGCCACAACTCACACCCAGATGGATACTTGCACACTAGGAAGTCAGTGGATTGATGACCTTGCTGGTTTGCACACAGGGTCTGAGGTCGACTGCGAGGAGGACAAGCGGCGCCGCTTGGAGACTCTAGAGCGTCACTTCAGCTTCCAGCGCTCCGCGCTGATGGTCCAGCTGAATACAGCCAGGGTAGGGCCGGCCCACCTTTCGGCAGGGCCGGCCTCTTGTGCCATCCGCACGCCCGCTGCCGACGCCAAGTACCAGGTGTTCTTGGATCTGAGGCGGCGGGGCTTCTATCTGACCTCGGCTGGAAAGTTTGGCGGTGATTTCCTGGTCTATCCTGGTATGTTGGTTGCTTGTCCTCTCCGCTGCTCCAATTACTACTTTCCAATCCACTTTTTTTTTTTTTTTAATATATATATATAATCATATTGCAAAGAGCTTGTTATCATTAGTCAGGCACTCCCTGGGCATTGGTGGGAGGAAGCAATGAAGCAAGCAACGAAATAAGGAAGAGAGAAAATATGAGAAGGAAGGAAATAAAGAATGGAAGGAGAAACGTAAGGAAGAGAGGAATGAAGTGCAGGAGGAAGAAAGAGAGAGAAAAAAGCAAGAGACCAATGAAAGAAGGGAGGAGCTGGAAAAAAGATGGAAAGAAAGAAGCAACTAAAGAATAGACAGAAATAAGTAAAGGTAGGAATGAAGGGAAATGGGTAGGAAGCTGTGGCCAGATGGTAGAAAGCAAAGCGGAGAAGGAAAACAAGCAAGGAAGATTGGAGTGAATTAAAAAGGAACACAGGAAAGAAGTACAAAGAAGGGAGAAAGAAAAAGCTGGACTGAAAGGAGAAGATGCGGGAAAAACAGAAAAGAAGAAGGAAGCGTCTCAAAAATGGATAGAAAGAAGAAAAGGTTAGAATGAAGGGGGGAAAGGAAGGAAAGGAAAGAATTAGTTGTGGCAGAAATAAGAATAAAGTGGAGAAGGAAGGACATTTAAAAAATGGAATGTAGAAAGGAAGGTAGGAGAGTCGCTTCCCTGCACCGTCTTGATGTTCTTGTTTGTTTTGTTTTTACAGGCGACCCTCTGCGCTTCCACGCGCACTTCATCTGCGTGTGCGTGCGCGCCGACGAGCGCGTGCCCCTGTCGGACCTCCTGGCCGCCGCTCGCCTGGGTTCCAATGTCAAGAAGACGCTGGTCTTGTGTTCGCCTCACTGCCACGGTGGCGGCGTGACGTACTCGTCGCTCCAGTGGAGCGGAATGATCTGATCTGATTGGACAGCGGGACTGATACGTCCTGGCTGTCCCTGGAGAGTACTGTTCTGCTCACTCAAGCAACCTTCCCTCATCCCAGTGTGGACAGCAGACTTTTGTATTCCTCAGTTCGGAACAGCGGTGGCATCAGATACGAGTGAGCCGACTGCAAAACTGATGGGGTAAAAAACTATCGCAAAGATTTTGAGGAAAGAGGACGTGGGCAGCATTGGTCATGTAAAGGGTTGACCAGAATCTCCAAACAAAGAGTTGAATCTTTGTCTCATCAGACCACAGAATTTTCTTTCTTGTGGCCTGAGAGTTCTTCATGTGCCTTTTGGCATACTCCGGGCGGGATGAAATGTGTTGTTTACGAAGGAGTGGCCACTGTACCATACAGGCCTGACTGGTGGAGTGCTGCAGAGATGGTTCTCTGTCTCTGTGTTCACATCTGAATGGCTCCTGCCAAACAAAATGAAGAAATCAATTCTGATTCACTGGCAGAGCCCTATGTAGATATGTGTGTTCTTTTAAAATCTAAATGCCATCTCAAATCCAAATGTGTTTTTCTTTACACAATTATATAGTCTCTCCCGAGTTATGAGGGCTAGTAACTTTGATTGGTGGGACACAAAAAGAACTTCGCCAGTAATCTGAAGACAGACATCTTCATTTAAAATGAAGCAACAATGGTGCTGATTCATTTTTTTATGCAATGTCATTTTTTATGTCATATATTTGGTTTCATCGTCAGGTTGGTGCCGATTATCGAACGAGAAGGCTGTCCATACACTGAAAGTATTGATACAGGCGAAAATATTCCTGTGAACTCTCAAAAATGTAATTCAGGCGAACATTCGACAAGTTTTAAACAAGTTAAATCGGGTATACAGTATACGTCACTTTCTACCGACCAGGTGTGCTAATGGCTTTATTAGGATTTAGGGCACACACACATGACCTCACCATTGTACGGTATTGCACACTGATAATTTAAACTGACATTTGATAACAAATATGTTTGGTTTTGCTTTTGTTTTAAGGGTGGGACGCGGTTATTTTGGATACATTAATGTGAAAACAAGTGGTCAATATCATTGCATTAGAATTCAATTATATTATTTTCTTTCCCTTCGATTATTTACGCAAACAATTTGACAAACTTGGGTGTTGTATTTCATCTCAGTCGTGGAAGGAGAACCCTGAGCCTCTTTATAGGCGAATAACATAATTGCAAAGCCATTGGGGCAGGTTAATTACGAAACACGTGTGTGTAGTTCACCTCCGCTGCGATGGTGGCGCTCTGGTGTAATACTTTTCAGTTGCTAAACATGAAACAGGAAGTAGTTTGGTCGAGGTCGTTTCGTCAAATATCGAGCAAACAGGTCAACTGTTTTTGCCTCGGCATTATACAAAGGACGCCCGTTTGTATGTTTTAGTTGAAAGTAACTACTCTTGGGGTGGTTGGTTCTGACCATGCTAATGCGATTAAACTGGATAAGTTTAAAGCAAAATTACTGTTCGTCTGAAGTGGGTCACGTGGCCATCGAGCGGGTCTTGATTATTTTAATTTATAGGATTCAAAGCAACACAATTGTCCTCATCCGATCCATCGTGCGTTTGTCATATTCTTTAAAAACTCATTGGGTGATTAGCTTGTCAAAGAACATGGTGATGCGAACGTTACTCGCTGCTTTACCATTGGGCCCCCTAAGGTCACATGACCCACGGCAATCAATTGCTCGACATTTGTTTTATTTTGTGGGCTGTACAACGACACAATTGGCATCATTGTTACATAAAATGTTGCTGTTTGGCATATAAATGTGTTTTGTTGTGGTTAGTTGACATTTGTCACCGTCACTGTAGCTCGTAGTGTCGGGACTTAAGTTGTCCGATAATTTCCCGGTTTTTTGGTTAAGATTGAGTGTAGTATCTCTTAGTAATGTAATTCGGGGCCCATAAATTAATTGGTGATTTGCAACTGGAACATCTTCCGTCCACTCAACATGGTGTTAAATAGTAATTCATTCCACTGTCCCATGCCAACATCTTTAGTCAAGGTATAGCATTTGATGTACAGTATAATGAATTCAGCCAAAATCGTACTAAGTCATGCAAAACGATTAATTTTGCAGCTTGTCATCTCCAGTGGACAGCCTCCGTTCATCGAGCTTCCGCTCATCGATGTCCGTTTGCGGGTCGAGGTGGCCACACTGCGCGCATCCCCTTTCTGACCACCCAAAGAAAAAGGAAGCGAATGCCGTAAAGGCGTGGAGGCAGGGACAATTCTCGCTTTGAATTCTCGGTAGAAATGAAGCAAACCAGCCCTGACAACATCATCATCATAAGCGCGGTTTCGTTTCGTTTTTTTCTTGGACCGGGCCAACGCTTTGCCGCCTCTTTCTGGTCACGTGAGTCACAAGACGCTAGCCTGGTGTTGTGTCACGTGACACGCCTCTTCTCCAAACATGTCTCCGGACTCGCGTCCAGCAGGAACGCCAACAAGTTGGACGCGGTCTCGTCGCTGACGCGCATCTGCTTCCTACAGCAGACTCGTCAACCTTCGGTCCTTGCCTCGTTTTGGGGTGTCAAATGTCACAACACGCTCACAATGCCGGGGACGACTCGGTGCTGGTAGCTTGACGCTAGCTGGCGCGTTCGGTACTGCCTGAAAAAACTCCAAAGTTATCCCAGGTGAGCCAAATTACAATTTGACCTCTTTTTCTGCATGGTACGATAAACGTATGTTAAATTAATGTTTAACTCGAGGGTCTGGTTTGTATGAATTAAACGACACCGTCGTGTTAACTCGTGTCAAGCTCAAGGCTGCTTCTAGCTTAAATGTGTAAATCAACGAACGCATTTTTAAGTGTTGTGTTTATTAATTACTCGAGCTTTCTTTTGGATGTGGGTTTTACAGTCTCATTAAAAGTCGAGAAGTTATTCTGAAGTTTTAAGCACGAATTGGCACTTGGTCGATGTTGTACATTTGCTTGAGTGAGGTTGGAATGAGCATGTCTGAAAGAGTTAAATAAAAACTAAAACAAGGTAATAGCTCCCAAAAGTTTGTTATAGTAAATAACGCTTTCCAAAATTTCAAGACTAACTGCAATGTTAACCTTTCACTTTTCTTTGTTTTAATTTCAAACGCGTACGAAAATAAAATGCTGTCATTGCTGGGGGGGTTAGAAAAGCTGTTCAATGTAGCACATTATATACGTTGTCTGTGTTTTTTTTTTTTTTTTTTTAAAACTAGCTTCTCAGTGTCTCCAGACATGTTTTTACTGCAAGCAGTGAATGACACCGGCATTGCACTTTGAACTATGGTAGCTGCAAAAAGAAATTTATTAAAAAAATAGGGCCTGCCAATAATATTGGAATTAACAATTCATAAAGTTGTTGTATAGTTACATCTCACTGAATTTTAAAGTAGTAGAAAATGATCCACTCAGTGGAATTCAAGTTATGGTTTATGGCACATCATGTGAGTTCACTCTTTAGTGTCATGTAATCATGTGGCTACTATAGTATGCACGTAATACGGCTACGACCTCCTTTTCTTCTCTTCTGTTTTTTTTTTCTTTCTTCTCAGGACATGTGTGAGAAGCAATTAAATGTGTCCTTGCAGTTAAAGAGACCTTTTGTCTACATGTGAGTGTAGCTGGACACTTTGCAGCCCTGAGCACGTCACAATGGATTGGCTGGTGTGCGCTGTGGAAAAAGACCTGGGGATTGACCGGAGGCAGGTGGGCGCTGGGGCACGTCAACAGGAGCTTGTTGCTTTGGTGCCTGTGCGCTGGCTGGCGGCTCTCCGTGACAGGAAGCTTGTGCGTTTCGTCCGCTTGGAAAATATCAGCGAGGCAGAAATCCGCACATACTTGCAGTGTTCCCAGGCTAAGCTGCCGCCTGGCTGGACACGAGTGTGCATCCAGGGTTTAAGGAAAAGCAAGCTGAGCTACAGGCTGGTCCGAGACCCGTGTCTTCAACTGAATGACTCATCAACAAAGGAGTCCTACGTTAGCACCATGCAGCATGTGTCACTGCATAATGTCAGGTACTGAACACACAAAAAGTCACACCATGTAAAGCACATAGAAGTAGCGTTTGTGGTTTTAGGGCAACTTACAGGAAGCGCTCTTTCTCAAATGGAGGGTTGTGCAATTTCACACGTACAGCTTGCTTGACTATTAATGTAACATTTAATGTTGTTCCACACCACCTCCAAGAACTAACACAGTGTTGTAAATGACCAGCGTGGCTGCATTTAATCAACTAATTTTCCATTTGCGACACATTCTGTTCTGCAAAAAATAAGAGGAAGTGTGACTTGTGTCTTGCTTATTTCTTGATTAATTTGTAAGTAACATTTTGTTTTATTCTTCAAATTAGTGACATAGTTCTAGTTTTGGGGACGACATTACTGACAGTTTTATTTTAACTCTATTTTGTATTTTTTAAATTTTCAAATGTAATACTAATTAATTGAATAGCTTCTCAGCCTCCAGTATGCATCTGCGTCTTCGAGGCGTATTTACCATAAGACACGCAGGCCCAAAGACAATTTAAATCAATTGAGGTGACAGACTAATTTTCCTTCAGCGCTTTCATGTTGTTGCAAGCGCTCTGCTTAATCCTCCAGCCAAAAACACCTAATTAGCAACTAGTTGACATCAAGCTCTGAACATCATTGTAGAGTAGTATAGTTGACTGTACGGTCACCTACCATTACTACACCACTACACCAATAAATGTCAATATCAGAGTTGAGCCAAATGTTTACATTTGGACTGGTCAAAGTTTGCCTCAATTACTGTGATTATTTTTTTCCAGGAATCTGTGGCGTGAAGCCCACTCCAGACTTGTGCAGCCGTATGCCGGAGCCAGTGAGCAGATGCATGTCACGGCTGCTGACGCAGTTCGACACTCCCTTCAAAAGCTCTTCAACTCTGCCTTCATCTCATGTGAAAAAGCGTCGCCGTCTCTCTCTCCGGCCAAAGAAAAGGAGAACTTCTTACCGTCGTCCATGTCCGCTTCTTCCAAGCCAAAATTGGACCATTTGTGTCCCAATGTTTTGTCAGCCGAATGTCTGCTGGAGACGGCAGAGATGCTCTATGTGGTTCTACCTTACACACAGTATTCACTCCATGACATTGTGTCCTTCAGCCCAGCCAAGCTTGCCAATAGTCACGCCAAAGTTCTGTTCATTCTCTACCAGTTGCTGACAGCCATGCAGGCGTGCCACACTGCAGGGCTGTCCTGCGGGGACCTCTCCCTGCTGGACATTGCGGTGGACGAGCAGCTTTGCAGCCGACTTAAGATCAACCTTGCCCATTATGAGGAACTGGGCAACGGTGATGATCCTACCAGGCTGGTACCCAAAAGTGCCCCACCAAGAGTCAATGTGCGTTCAAGCCAGGAGAACAAAATGCTTTGCAAGGACTGCTTTGATGAGCTCAAAACTTTAGTTCTTGACTGGGTCCATGGGCGGGTAAGCAACTTTTGCTACTTGATGGAGCTCAACAGGTTAGCGGGGCGACGAGAGGGAGACCCAAATTACCACCCTGTGCTGCCGTGGGTGGTGGATTTCACAGTGCCATTTGGAAAATTCCGGGACCTCCGAAGATCCAAGTTCAGGCTCAATAAGGGGGATAAGCAGCTGGACTTCACCTATGAGATGACCAAAGAGGCATTGGCGGCTGCAGCGGGCAGCGGTCTAGGGGGAGTTAGTGTTGGGGGAGACTTGTGTGGATCAGTCAGTGCAAGTGGGGCCGGACAGCCAGACCACCTCCACGTACCTCATCATGTGTCGGACGTGCTCTCAGACATTACATACTATGTCTACAAAGCCCGGCAGACACCCAAATGGGTGCTGTGTAGCCACGTGAGGTCCCAGTGGGAGCCGAACGAATACCCCTCCAGTATGGAGCGCATGCAGAGCTGGACGCCTGACGAGTGCATTCCCGAATTCTACACAGACCCCTCTATTTTCCGCTCAATACACCCTGACATGCCGGACTTGGATGTGCCTTCCTGGTGCAAGTCCTGCGAGGAGTTTATCGAGGTCCATCGACGCCTCCTGGAGAGCAGGGAGGTGTCTCAGAACCTGCACCACTGGATAGACCTAAATTTTGGCTTCAAGCTGTCAGGCAAAGACGCAGTCAAAGCGAAGAATGTGTGCTTGCATCTAGTGGACAACCACACCCATCTGACCACGTATGGTGTGGTCCAGTTGTTTGACCAGCCCCACCCACCTCGCTTATCCGCTTCCCAGTATGCTCCGGCAGAACCTCCACTCGTAGGCCTCGCTGCCCTTGACGTGCCTTCTCTACACATCCCACAAATCGACATGGCGCCCGCCTCTGTGGATGGAATGGTGCCAGAGTCCACTGGGTGTGAGTCCAGTGGCTGGACCATGCTAGACAGAGACGAAGAGCTTGAACAAGGCACTGAGGCCTTGGACTCGTTAATGTCTACAGGCTCATCTAACTCTGCCACTTGCTCTGGTCCACTGCCTAGTATCAATACGGCGGGAGGCAAGATCGGGGATGCAGCACTCATAATGTCTCACTCCCCGACTTCCTTCTCTGGTGATTTCACAAGTGCTGGGGTACGCAGCACTGTGCTCCAAAGAGGTGGGCCGCTGAACAAAAAGCACATGGAGGGAAGCGTGACCACCACCAATGCAGACGATATCAAGATCCTTCTCCCCGAGGGCTTCAATCCACTGCAGCCTTTAGAAGAGCTGGAGAAGTTGAATAATTTCCTGGTTAAGAGTCTGCACACCGAAGTGTTGCATCCTGAAGGCCCCTCAGATAGTGAGCTCGGAATGGTCGAAGCGCCGCTGTCGCTCATGAGGCTTTATGAAAGAGATATGCAGGCCCTTGGCGTCCTCATTGCTGAGATATTTTACTCCTCAAAATTCAGAGGCTTAAAACCGGGCGCCTCCCTCAGACAACGTTTCCACGCTGTTTTGAAAATGTGCTCCCTTGGCTTCCGGGACATCCCGCTTTCTTTGCATCACGCTCTTGAGAAACTGCTGCCAATAGAGAAACACTCTGGAGAAGCACATCAGTGTCAACGGCCGCTTCTTTTTAACTATGATCCCATCTGTGATGGCCTTCCCCCTCCGACTCCCTCCCAGATACTGAACACATTCATTACTCCATTTCCTTTCCCGTCCTACTTTGCAGGACTCCATCGCTTTATCTTCTCCTACCACGCCAAGATGGAGACTGTATGTAGACTCCAAGGAAGGGACGTAGTCTTCCAATTGTGGCAACAGTTAGAAACACTTCTGCGAGGCAACATTACGGCTGAGGGCCTCGAGATTCTCTTGCCCTTCATCCTGGCCCTCATGCTTGAAGAGTCCACTGCCGTCTACGCTGCTTGGTACCTGTTCGAACCCATCTCGAGAGTCCTGGGTCCCAGAAATGCAAACAAGTACCTTTTAAAGCCACTGGTCAATGTCTTCGAGAACCCTCGCTGTCTTCGGGGACGTTTCTATCTCTACACCGACTGTTTCATCCTGCAACTGATCGTCAGGCTCGGTCTGCAGGCCTTCTTGTCCAACCTGCTCCCACATGTGCTGCTGGTCCTCACCGGCTTTGAAAGCTGGACCTCTAGTCCGGCCGGAGAAGCTTGCAAAGGGATGCGGAGTGCCACTTGTACTCTGGGAGAGGAAGAGGAGGAGGGCTTTCAGGCTGGTCACGTGCGCTCCTCATCTGGATCTGTCCGCGGGAACATGGGTGGTGGCAGCGGGGCGAGCGCAGGTGTCGGGGTCGTTGGGGACGGCGGGCTGGTGGACTACGCCTCAGGCATCAGTCTCAATGACCAGGTGTTTCTCTCAGAGGCTGAGGACTTTCAGAATGAATTTTATGTGAACAGCACAGGGGGAGACAGCGGAAAACAGGTGGACCAGAATTCTGCTGCCAAGGACCAGGACCACGAGTCTTTGAGCGTGGGCAAGCTTAGCGACAAAAGCAGCGCAAGCGAACACTCATCAGGCGACGGAGACTCCATGCGGGATCGAGCCAGTCTTAAATCAGCCGACAGCAGCCAGGATCTGAAACAAGCCAGCGAGGGAGAGGAGGGAGCGGAGCTGGATGAGGAGGAGGCGACTGAGGCTCATGATTGTAAAGTGGCGGCAGATGACCTTTCAACCCCCAAACTGGAACTCTCTTTCGCTGGTTGCACGGAGGTTTCGTGTGCTACTGTTGCCACTCTGGAGAGTGAGTTTGTGAACGGAATGGAAATGGAAGAGAAAGTCATTATGGGGGACCAGGAAGAAGAGGTGGACCAGGATCCGTCGGAGGAATCGCAGGCGAAGGAGCAAAAAATACTTCTCGGTGAGATGTGAGCTTGTTAAGGGCATTCAAACGACTCACCTGTTTTCTAGGCTTTGGTCATGCGAAGTTTGCAAGCTGACCCCTTAAGTACGTCGATGTCATTTTCAGCGTGGATCAGTGGAAGGCAAAATGGCCGTGGATATTTCTGCTCAATTCATGTTTCACAAACGCAATATTAATTAAAAAAAACAACAAAACTATGTTAAGACCAGTGGGGTTATATAGAACATGTTACTGTCAAGAAAATGTTTGACTTGACTTTCCCACTAAAGAAAAATCTCTTCACACAGATACAGTCTGCAAAACTATTCGGTGGCTCTCAGCCAAACTTGGACCGACAGTGACTTCTCGATGTGTGGCCAGGAACTTGCTGCGATTACTCACAAATTGCTACATCGGTGCGTAGGCACGAATAGCATTGTAGAAGATTAAATGAGTGTCAATATCCAAACATGCTTCCCTTTTTCCTTTTGAACTCTGGTCACAGGCCCTGAAAGTCATCAATTTGTAATGCCTGGACCTGAAGAGAGCCCTCTGGAGAGTGTGGGAATGGGCAGCGTTTATGAGAAGCGATCCGTGGTGGGCGACCAGACCGCCGCGTCTGTGCTGGACTGTCTCATT